TTTTCACACTGGTCAATTATTTGGAAGATGTATAAAGACAAGAGAGCATGTTTTCAGTTTATTCCTATATTGACTAGCATTGGTCTTCCTCATTCCAGTATTTCACAGGCTATATTTCTCATTCATTGTCAAAATTTTTAGTTTCTTATAGTCTGCTTATGATAAATCAAGTCATTTGTATCCTTGTCCTTACTTGAAATACAGTTTAATCATAAATTTCCATGTCGACAGACACTGTTTTTCTCTCAGCAATTTAGCTCTTTATCTATGGTGTTATTTATCCCATTGTATATAAGAAATCTTTCAATTTTATTTTATTATTTTATTTTGCTATATATGTCTTGGTTTTCCTTTTATCACCTTGAAATTTTTTACTTCATGACTAGTTTTGTTAGTTTGATAATGTGTCTTGATATGTTTTATTCACAGTTTTAATATTCATTGAATTTTTTGAGTCTGTAGTTTATAGTTTTCCTTGATCTTGACAAAAATCAAGCCATTCTACTTCTGACCACTTCTCTATTTGCTCCCCTCATTCTGGGGGTTCCTCTTTCTTGTCTCTGCTTGCTCCTTTTCTTCTTGAGGATTCCTCTCTTGCATTTATCAATTGCTTGATCTCACCTTCTGGCCAAGTGTTTTCTGTGAGTTCCATTTGCTCTATGCCTGTTTCCTGTCTTGCTTCTGGCTCAAACCTTTGTGCCATCATAGCTGTAATTATTTTTAAGTTAATATTGCATAGTGCTGTACTATTTCTTCTTTTAAAAATGTTAGACTGTTGTTTTTGATGAGTGACTATCTTTCTGTGTGTGTTACATTGCTATATGTGTGTGTGTGTGTGTGTGTGTGTGTGTGTGTGTGTGTGTATGTAGCTGCATGTATACTTGCCATGCATGCATGCATGGGGCCCAGAGGGTGACGTCTGATCTGAGTTATCTTCCTCATTCACTTATCCATCTTAGTTTTTGAGATAAAGTCTGTTGCTGAATTTGGAACTTGTCAGTGGATTGCCTGGCTAGCAAGCTCTAGGAATTCTCCTGTCTCTACTCCTAGTGATGGGTTAAAGACACTTTGTCATCATGCCCAGATAGTTTATATGGCTGTTGGAGATTTAAAAAAAAAAATCAGATCTCCAAGCTTTCACAGAAAGTACTTTATACACTGAGCAATCTCCATACTTCCATAGTCCTACACCCTTCTTCTCTCTTCTTTTTTCCTTCTTCTTTCTCCTCCTTCATTTTCTTTTTCCCCTCTTCTTACTCCAACTTCCTCTTTCAAATTTAAATGTATTTGTGATTGAAATATAGACACATACAATCTGTATATTCATGGAGTATCATATAACATTTTGTTAATGTATGTATTTGAAGTATTATAACTCTCCTTATACATTTATCATTTTTATAATAAAGCAGTAAAAATCCTTTAAATAGTTACCATCTATAGTCATATCAGGGATTTTTTTGTTCCTGTACATGAATGAACATACCATATTCACATTTATTCAGTATTCTTTCATTTTTTAATTATGCACACTATTAAAATGAATTATTCAATCTTGTTCTGTGTTCAGTGAAAATGACAGCTTTGAAACTTCCCATAGATGTTTGTTATTTGTATTTACTGAGGCCATTTTTGCAGACTCTTATTATATAGCCCATTCTGGTCACCAGTTTCTGTCCTTCCTGTTACCAGTACTGAGTGCAGGGATTGGAAGTGCACTGATCTTTGCCTCCCTTTCGATAGTTTAGAATTCTTTATGTTTATTTTTCTTACATGATAATGCTGTAATATGTATATATAGTTTCTCTTTGTCTACAATGTGGCTTCATTGTTATCTTTTATAATTTTTTTGTTTTCTAAATAATTAAGGAAGCTAAAACTTCAACCAGATAATATTTATGGTTATAATGAACACACAAATGATATTTTATATTAATTTTTTTTGTTTTGTCTTTTAATTTTATGTCAAAAATAAGACTTCTCTAGGTATGATACATTTGGCTTAGTATGTAAATATTGCTAATTACAAGAACCAATTAATTTTTGCATATAATTTCATATAGTGGGAGACATCAGGAACAAATGTGTCACTATGCCTAAAGGCTAAGAACATTTCATGAGCAATGTCGCAACTGCTGTGTTTCAAGTTTCAATTTTACCTTTCCCTTATCAATGAGATCATAGGTCATAAGAATATTCTCAAGCAATGATTAGAAGATTTTCTGTGTGACATCAAGCTTTGCAGAACTTATTTTAATCAATGCTTATAAAAAGGACTCTTCTGCTTGAATAATATGTGTGGAACGTGAATTAAATTTTCCTCTATTGAATTTGAATAGATTTTTCTCTTAAAAGATCAAAATTATCTGTAGGAATCACATATTCTTTTTAAAGGATCAGTAATGGTAGCCTAGTGTTATGTTTATCAAGAGCATGAAAAGAAAGAACAAAAGAAGGAAGGAGAGAAGTAAAGAAAAGAAGAAAGGGGGACAAAGAAAATTAAAATAAAGGGGGAGGGGAAACAGGCAAGAGAAGCTGTCACTATTCCTCTGACATTAGATATTGTGTGTAGGCTAAATAAGAACTAGCGTTTGTTTATAATAAAATGCTTCACATAATAAATATCACAGTGCTGAAGATTTCTAAGCAGTGAACAGGATAACTGGTTGTGAGTTTTGTAAGTTCCTTGAGTTATTTTTTCTTAATATAGGTAGGTACTCTTTTCTTACATAGATACATTCATATTTAATTCACAGGTATACGTATTTAATCAAGAACAGATACTTTTCTTTTGCCTTGTTTGATAATAATGCAACTAAAATCTTTAACCTCTGTGAAATATATTCTGGTAGATACTTTGCTGTTGCTTTGAGTGTGTGTGTGTGTGTTTGTATGTGTATGTATATATGCACATATGGAAGCCAGAAATTGATGTTTGATGTTTTCGTCAATCACTTTCTAACACACACACACACACACACACACACCCCTTATTATATTGATATGTGTTAACTTTGAGTTTGTAAGCAAGTGTGCATCTGTATGTTTTGGGTTCGTTGTATGTGCATGTGTAGGCCATGACTTGTGTGTGTTAAGAGGGCAACTGGTAGGTGTCAGCGTTTCCCCTCCACCGTATGCATTGGAAATTAAACTGGGTTTTTTCAAGCTTGGGCATCGGTGTCTACTTGCTGAGCCATCTCCCTGGTCATTCCACCATGTTTTTCACATCTCACCCTCAACAGACCCACTGGGAGGCCACAAAGTCTTAAGGATCCTCCTATATCTGCACCCCTAATCCCAGGAATTCAAGTGTGCACAGCTGCACTGGGCTTCTGTGTTAGTGCTCAGGATCTGTCAACTTGCAAGCCGAAACCTGTGCTGAGTCATCTCCCAGCCCATCTGTGGTTCTAATTACATTAAAAGTGACTTTAATGTGTATTTCTATTTTTTAAATAGGTTCCAGTCCCATTGCCTTCTTCATGCAATACTGCTTCTGTGTTCGTAACGAAGAGTGTGATGGAATTGTCATAGAAGATCTTGAAGGTTTAAAAATGTATTTTCTTATGAAAATGTTATTGAAATAAAAACTAAATTTTAGGCAGAGTAGATGACTGAGAGAACTCATTTAAGTTTCATAAATAGGTTTTATCTAACCACATTTCAGTAACTAATTATGGCAACATGTAAGAAATCAATTGTCAAGATCTGTTTTCTACTTTGTACACCATCCAAGGGCAGTGCTCCTTTCAAAGCTGTTATTCTTGTCTGCCATCATCTGGGTAACCTCTAGGTTCTTAACTAGGTCTTTTCAAAAATATTATTAAGTCAACTCTATCTTACCACAATTTTTTTTATTCTCAATAATATATGAAATAAATTATTCTCTTATATAAAGCCTCTACAGAGTAAAAAACAATGTCAGGCCTTAGAATATCAAAAGGAAAGCAATTTAAAATTAATAAGAGAGAGAATTGGTCGTAGGTATTATTGTAAGGGTCTTATATGTACGAGAGAAAGATTTATCTCTAGAATTCTATTTTCCAGCTTAATTTGGTTGCTACTCGAATCAGAAAATATCTATTAGATCTAAATTATAATCACTTTTATGCAACAATGAATGAACTATACTTTTTAGATCTGCAGACTAACTATGCACATCACTCCAGTTTACAGCCATGATATTCTAGGGTAAAAACGAAGCCTCATTGAATGTAGGAAATTGTGACTTCTGTATTTACATTTGAGAGTTTAACCAATCATGAACAAAAAATATTTTCAAAAAATTATGCCTATACTGCACACATCTATATTTTTCGTTCTTCTTTGTGAGATTTATACATTTATGCTGTAGGAAATACAAGTAGTCTAGAAGGGATTTAATATACGCATGAAAATATTTTTGTATTAAAGACAATTTTGTGATACTATTTTTAAAATTTAATTTTCAGATTTTATTTATTGTTATGTTTGCGTGTGAGTGCCTACATGAATCTATTTCCACTATGTGCATGTCTTGTATTTTCAGAGGCCAGGAGGGGGTATTAGATTGGAGCTAGAGTTAGTGGGGGTTGTGTGTGTGCTAAGAGCAAGCATCTAGGCAAGAGTAGCAAGTGTTCTTAACCACTGAGCCATCTACAGAGCCCTCAGTGTGATACTATTTTATATAAAGCACTCATGATACTCCTTTATAGTAAGAGGCTGCTCAGGTTCAGACAAGAATGAGACACATCCTGAACTAACCCTGGGATCCCGAAGTGATGAGTATATTTCATATTGATATTAAAGTTAGTTCTAAGCAAAGAATATGAAAACAATTTTTGTTTCTACACTTCACTAAGAAAATTTATACTTTATGGAATATAGCATACACATGTGTAATCCCACCATCGCCACAGTTTCTGAATCTTGCTTTATTCTCTATGTTCTAGAAATACCAATTTTGTTCTATTACTTTATCCTAACAGAGAACAGGGGAAAAAAAAAGAAAGAAATCTACTTACAGCCAATCAACATGACACAAATGGAGAAGATTTTCTCCGAATTGGTGTTGGGAGACACATTTCCAAATCCTACACTGGTCAAACTGCTGAAGGTAAAATAAAGTGCCGTGACGTATTTGTCTTTAATGGACGGTCCAGAACTCGAGTCACTGTCATTGTAACGTTTCCCAATTTGTTGTCCTAAGGAATCCAACCATCCAATTTTGTCAGTCAGATAGGGCCTCTCTACATTCCCAATCGCATACCAGATGCAAGCCAGCCAGTGGGCAATCAGGGCAAATATGCACATTAAGAGCATAAGAACCGCGGCGCCGTATTCGGAATAGCGATCCAGCTTCCTGGCCACGCGCACAAGACGAAGGAGCCGCGCAGTCTTCAAAAGACCAATTAATGTTGTTGTCTGTGGAAAAAAATGCGAATGGTCAGAAACAGCCATTTCAAGGTATGTTCTTGTAAGGTTGAACTGTTAACAGAAAATGGGAAAACGAACGAAGGCTTGAATCAAGTATGAAGATTAGTTCTTCATCCAAAGAGTATTAATTCCACTTTGAAAAATATGGGACTTTGGAACCCAATGTCTTGGCATGCAAAATCCATGGAATGAGAGTCAGCTTTCACAAGGTCTACAAAAGTGACTTTCATGCAATATGTATGCCCTACTAAAGTGTTCCTTCCTCAACCAATGTCCAGGGAGTTGATTGTGTGTCTACCACGTACCACGCACCACAATTACAATGCAGGAATAAAGTTCTCTCTAACAAAGACAGACAATTATATAGACAAGGGATCTCCTCTAATGAAGAGAAAAAAAAAGTCTGCTATTTCCTGGCAGAGAGACTGAAAAGTGAGATCTTGGGATTAGCATTAGTTATGGTTATTGCATAATTGCTATTTGGCAATATAGTTTGTGGTAGAGATCACAAGAGAGGAAGACCCCAAAAGACCTTTCTAACTAGGCTGTACTGAAGTTGAAAAACACCTGAGCGATGTGAAGGAGTCAGCCAAGCTCCTCTTGTAACTGTTAGGAGCCCTTAGTGGATACCTGCATGCACGAATTACAATCTTTATTTAAATATCTCTTTCTTTCTTTTCTCTTGAATGCGTCAAATTCATAAATCGTTTCTTGGTATCCTGATGACCTCACAATTGTATTTTGGAGTATGCTGCATGTTAACTAATTGCATGATTGTTGCTGACCAGGTAGTTAACGATAGGATACTTTTACATAATAACAGGATATTTAACTGGTTGTTGAGAATCGAAATCTGATAAGTACAAATTACAAGTTCATTTCTTATGTTTCCTAAATAATGTCAACTAGAAGTAGTATATAATTCGCAGAGCGTGTAATTATTCCATAGTAACATGGTGTTTACCAATCAATTATTGAGTCATTTTAGCTCTTTATTGTGGTGTTTATTTTACAAAGTACTTCCAAGTGTGTTAAGAACGCTAGTGTTTTAATTGAAGAACTAGCACACAGAGTAGCTATTGCCCCATTGCTATAAAAATACTGATTTAGTGAAAAATATTACTGAGTATACAGGAAAACTTTTAATGGAAACATTGTAGAAAATCCTCCCTTTGTTCCTTTGTTACAGTCAAGCAAAGGAAAATACTTTATTTTCCCTTGAATTCATTTCTCTAAGATTGGAACTCTTCAAAAGTAGGAGGACTTTGCCTAGCTTGGATGGACTTATCATAACAGGATTATAGTTTTTTTCATCTTGGTTGTGCCAATAAATAAGTTAATATTTTTCACAATGCAATGCAGAAAACAGGTTTTCCCTCTTCACATCTTTAAAGACACATGCCCCATCAATGAATTCCAGAATTTAAGAGAGCATTACAGAGTTCACTGGAAGTAAAGTAAAGTTCCCTATTTATACAAATACAACAGAAAGTCCAGTTATGTACATGGACTTTCGAACAGGCAGCCTTATAAGTTCTACGTGGATAGCTCTATGCCGCATTGGACAGGTTCTTTTTATACTCGGGCTTTAGCTGCTTTGTTTATAAATGGAAATATGAGGTCTACACGGGTGTAGGTAATATCTAATAAGTGATAGATCTTCATATTTCTATTTAAATATTTCCTCATATTTCTGTTTCTACTTATAGGAACTTTATGTTATAAAATGTGTTGATGGAGGGCTGGAGAGATGGCTCAGAGGTTAAGAGCATTGCCTGCTCTTCCAAAGGTCCTGAGTTCAATTCCCAGCAACCACATGGTAGCTCACAACCATCTGTAATGGGTTCTAGTGCCCTTTTCTGGCCTGCAGGCATACACACAGACAGAATATTGTATAAATAATAAATAAATAAATAAATAAATAAATAAATAAATTAAAAAATGTGTTGATGGAGCTTACATACTTTCCAAATATACTACATAGACAATTGGAATCTCAAATGGATGCCTGGCATCATGGATTAGGGTGCCCTCAGAAAATGGATGGGTCTTGGAAAGACAAGAACTTCATCCAGGTAAATGATTGCCAGGCGCTTACAGCAGGAGTCCCATTTGCTCAGTCTCGCCACGTCTGCCCAGTTCAGACTCTTGAGTTTATTTCTTCTCCTAACACTGCTGCCTGTTTATGTGTGTTTCAAAACCAGAGCTTGTTAAGTATTATTGTGCAAATACTAAAATTCTTATTTAGTTTTAGAATAAAACGTTTCAAAAATAATTTAAATATAATGGAGATTTACCAGGTAGTAGGTTAAATTAAGTAAATTCCTTACAGAACACTGACAGTTTCATAATGGGTTGTAAAGCGGTAGACTACAAGGAAAATAATAAAAATCTGCTGCGTAGGCTTCATACCCTTGTGCGTTTCCACCTCGAACACTCTAAAAATTTCTACTATATTTACTTAGTAATGAAAATAGAATTTATGTGAAGCTAAGGTCTTTCAAGAATATAAATCAGTATAATTTACATGATCACATATGAATGACAAATATTCTAAGAGAAAATAAGTTTAAGAAGACATGGACTCGTTCACAATTTTTATACCTGATAATTACAGGAAAAATAAGAGAAAGGAAGGGCAGAAGGAGATACAGGAGAGGCAGGAGGGGGGAGTCGAAGAAAAATAAGCCGGATGGAAGAGGAGAGATGAAGTTGTGACTCACTTTCGTTGTCAGGAGAGGTGGAATGAACAGTCCCTTTGATAGTCATTCACGACTCTGTAACATTTACCCAAGCTCAACTACATGAGCTAGTTTTATGTTGTACCATTTTTCTGTTGACAAATGCTGCCAACTCTCTTGGATCGTCTTTGCTACTGACCCTTGTGCATACTGCCATACTGTCTTGCCTGAGATTATAGAGATAAGATAAGGGATGGCACCAAATCTCTGAGAGAATAGGCCAGGACATTTCCGATCTCTGCTTGCTGAGTAGCTTTTGGCAAAACAAAACAAAACAAAACACACACCTCAGCATGTCCTAAACTTTGTTGACTTTTATAAATAGGGTAATAAAAATAGATAATAAGCAAGAAGTACTTCTGCAGTAGTGAAGGAAGGTACTTTGCCAATTTGACTTATGAGCTATAGTAAGGAAGACACAAGGGGTCCTAGAATATCAAACTTCATCTTATAGTACCTGTGCGATGTAGAACTCAGCTCATTCATTATGGCTGAAAAATATTCAATTTTTTCCAGACTGTAATAGTAAAGAAACTTTTCTCATAGAAGATTTTCATTTTAAATGTCCTGTTTAGTGCTTTTTAATTTGACAACTTTCCTTCACAAATACAATTATTTATATCTCTTGAATAATGAGTATAATTCAATTATATTGTTTTAAAATATCTGATATTTATTAAAGGTCTTAATTCCTTCTGATATTGGTAGAAATTAAGTTTCCTCATTAAATAAATGACTTTTTTTGATTAAAGATACAACTATACACTTGGAAAAATGCTGTATCAGAGACCAGAATAAAAAATTATATTAATATTTTTGATGAACGTTGTGTAATAAATTAATCAATATTTTCCTTCACTGTTGTAAAACTTTCCAAAGTACTGAAATTAGTTAATTCCTGTCAGGATTAATATTATTAAAAATAAGTCTGTGTAGGGTTAGATTGAGAAAGCTTTGCCAATAAGAATTTTTTTTTTTTTGTTTTTGGTTTTTCGAGACAGGGTTTCTCTGTAGCTTTGGTGCCTGTCCCGGAACTAGCTCTTGTAGACCAAACTGGCCTCGAACTCCCAGAGATCCGCCTGCCTCTGCCCCCCCCCCCCCCCCCGAGTGCTGGGATTAAAGGCGTGCGCCACCACCACCCGGCAATAAGAAAAATTTATATGCTGAAAAATTTTAAAATTTACTTTGTTAGTATTTATAAAAATCTTATAATAAAAATGTTTAGAGTCCTTAGAAAACTTAAAGTCACTTAATAAAAGTTAACATTTAGGTAAATTATAGCAATTATTTTTTTTATAAATGATGAAATATAAACATGTTCTCTTTGGTTTTATAGGATGGACTAAAGAATCAGACATCAATGAAACTTCAGTTGAATGCATTATTCCACCCTACTTCCCAATAAATAAATGTATGGGGGATACAGAAATATTTGCAAATAAAAATTGCAAGATTCCATATTCAATGTTTCTGCTTTAAATTTTATTCCAGGTATTCCCATTCAAATGTATACTTTACACACCATTTAATCAATTATTTAAATAATGCGGCTCAATGATAAAATTGTCTAGTTTCTAGCCTTTTCTTTCAGTTGTCTAATACTTTTCATCATTTCTGAGGACATGTTTATTAAAACTATCAATATCTGTATTTGGATATGTGCAGAATCCCGAGGAATTATCTAGCTTGTTTCTTTATTCAAATCAAATTCCACAATTGCTTTTACTAACTATGTATTCCAAAGAAATGATTCTACAGTTTGCTGCGGAATTCCTTTCAATTCCAAGCTTAATGATTGATACACATACACTGTATCATAGTTAACAATCTATTATACTGTAATGTTAAATTCCTTTCTATATCACTGCAGTAACATAGAAACTGGGCATCAAATAATTGTAAGTTTTAACAGAGAAATAAACCATCACATGTAGAAGTATGGATGTTATACCCTTTTAATTGAATTTTTAACTTTTAATTGAGTTTTTAACCAAGAAAATTGCATTCTATATAATCTCTATCATTTTTAGTCAGTCACACATATATTATATGTAAAAGATTCACTTAAAGAAAATTTCTTTTCCAATTGGTCATCTGTATTTAAGTCACATGTCATGCCAGAGTTGAGAGGCATGATCAAAGCTCCAAGTGGAGCTCAAGGAAAATTTCTGTAAAATACAAGCCAAACACTATCTAAAAAGAGAGAAATAGCTATGCTATTGTTGACATGCATATACACAAAATTTT